ACTACTGAACTATCACTTAACGACAAAAAATCCAACCAAAAACATCCTTGGTTTCGGGATACCGCAATTTTGAATAATATGGACTTGTGTGTAGTTGATAGTCGTCATTCTGGACAAGACGTGCAAAGATTAATCTGTAATGATAATACTGAATAGTGACAGCCACAACTATTATTGTGATTTGGCAAAGTTCCTATGGTTGAATTCTCAGTATCATAACCAATTAACCCTGATGTTTGTGTGCCTGTGGTGAAATGAGAGACCTACCATCCAGCACGGCAATTTGGTGAGTCGAAACCTGCATAGAAAGTCCGGAAAATACTTCAGCTACTTACGAGTAAACTGACAAAACTCTTGTCGTGTAGTGGTGACCGCTGACATACATGCATCGTTTCATGTTCATTTAGTTTGGTTTGACTTTGGGACGCGAATCAAGCACACTTTCATTCCGTGTTCATTCGTCATTGCTGCACAGGCATATCATGTATGTTGTGTTTTCAAGGCAGATACCGGTATTAGGTCAACGTCATGGGTGGTTGCTTTGGAAGCTTATCCCAAGAACATCTTGTATGTTGCATTAACATTTGAGGCTCAATAAATCACAAAACCTTATTCTATGTTTAGAGTACAGATCACATGTCGCCGTGCCACGCGTCGCCCGCTTGAGTCACCTTTCACAAATGAGGTACCTGTCTTGTTGGTTCGGTTCTCGGCCTCGTGTTGCGTTTAGTGGTCCACTCCAGGGGAACAACAATTTACCGTACTTTTGGAAATCATCGATGACGCACTGTAACCGAATTGTAACCAGCAGTTTTTGTCCTTATTTTATTTAGCGGAAGTTGCGGTCAAGGTGATAGACAGGACGAAATTTGATGCGAAAACAAGAAGGTTGCTCTCACAGGAGCTGGCCAATATGGAACGTCTGGACCATCCTAATATTATTCGCGTTTTTGAATTCCATGAATTCCCAGATCGCTGGTATCTGATTATGGAATATGCTCCAGTAGGCGAACTCCAATCCTATCTCAAACGACACGGCCGAATGGAAGATACGGCTGCAAAGAACATTTCCGCACAAATTGTATCTGCCCTCAAACACATGGTAAGTTGACATGTCCAATAGGATCTTAGATACACAATATACTAGTCAAGTCAAAACCATACCTATTAACTTTGAATGTTTTGAGTTCAATATTGAATTTGACTTGTTCGTAGGCCGAAAATTCTGCTAATGCACTGTCACGTCCAATCAAAAGCACGATATGAATGACCACAAACGTATAGATGATTTTGACATCTTGTTTCTAGGCTGATCCAGTCGTGTATTATACATTGTAATCTTACTGTCTGAGCTCGCTGAGCACATGCACAATCTTGTCTCATGGGAAGTATCTGGGAACAGATTTTATAGATCTGTGCGTCGAAAAGTGGTCAAAATTGGGAGTAAATGTAGACGTACTAAGTTAATATTTTCCTTGTATGAGTCTACTTCTTTAAAATTCTAGCTGGCCCCTCTATCATTTTATTCTAGCTTTAGCTGTTCTCTTTCATACAAATGATCCAATCATTTCTAGTCCGCTACTGTGAAAAAATATGGATTGGAACTTCAAATAAGTACACACCTTGAACACTATAATCCGTATACTTTGAAGTGCTTAAAGACTGCGACTGGAGTTTGATACTACTAGTGGAAAGAAGGAGGCTTTCGTTGAGGAGTTATTTATTATAACACGCCAAGTGAACAGTTACACACTATTGGAGAAAGAAATAAAACTCTTCTATGTATCTTGTTTATAAAAACTGGGTATCCGCCTCATTCTCAAACGCGTCTTCCTGAAATTTCCTGGATACTCATTGCCTGTCACTCAAACGTAAACGGATGCTATAAAGCGATTCCACAAATTCCGCACTAAATCTCACTTTTCAATAGGCGCGAAGCAGATACACGAGAAAATCACCTGCTACTAGCATGCCTCATCAGTAGTACACACCGTTATACTAGGAACCCCACACGTGTTCTTGTACGCATCCTAGTTAAGTGCAGCGCTTTTACCCCAGAACAATGAGTCCTACAATCCCAGTATTATGATCGATCGTCCTAGTGAGAATGTCACATGATGGTTGTACGTAACCACCTATATTTCCGTTGTATCTCAGCTCTACCTGTACGTACATTTCGGAGTTCAATTAAATTGCGTAACTATGGTATTGAAATTTGTTTCTAATCATAGGGCAAAACACTAACCACACATTCGGGTTTACGACGCAAGGGCTAGATGTCATAAGGTTGAAACCCTTCATTCTGCAACACTTTTCTCCTCACGTCTGTTTTGTAATAAGTTTGCACTGTGCCTATTTTTCGTTTTTCACGTAGAAGATAACTCGTCTGCTTTCTTAGAAACAGCTGGTCGGCCTTCCATTAAATGTTGAATCATACAGATTTGGCGCAATGTGTTGTTATCCCTACAGAAGGCTTTGATGATGTAGCAGGTAGTCGGCTGTATACTAGTGTTTCATTAGCCCGTTGAGTAAACCGGTATCACTTGAATCGGATACTACTTTGAGATTCTGTTGATGCTCAGTGCCTCATACACCTGTTCGTGGTATCATTGGAGAGCTAGGATAATAACGATCTCTCAAGTCATGATGGAGGAAGGGGCTAACATATATCAGAATTCCACCCTTGGATATGATGTGAATCCGCTGTATGTATATCCTTTAGTTTAAAGATTTTCACTAGACATAAAATATCAGGTTGTTTGTGCATAATGTGACTGTTTTCCTCGGGCTAGTTGCTATGTAATATGCCCGATCACGACAACACGTTTGCTAGAATTATTCGCACCATACATGAACGCAGACGTACAACAAGCAAAACGTATACAATTCAGAGTACACTCAGTGTTGACCGGCTCTCACAGACCAACTGATCAATGCCGACACAATCATGCGTTATACCTAAAAGGCTATTTCACACACAGTTGGGACTGGTTAGATTTGCTCGACAAGGCCTCGATCACTACGACGTTGAAGGTCGTGTTGCGTAGTACGATGCAGAGTTCACTTATCCGGGGAATTTCTGATAACTCTGCGGAGCAATCTACTTACTGTGAAATTAAACAAACTGGCCTAGGGCCCTACAGTGAAATTCTGCAAGGTAACCAGTCAGAAATTCATTTCATTAGCAAGGCAAATTACCAGAAACAAATAAGATATATGAATAAAAACTGGTTGGAACTGGCTGCCCATAGCATTTCACTGAGCCAACGTTAAAGTAGGATACCTAACCCCTGCAACAAGAAGGGTATATCTGAATGGAGATAATCGCTCAGTCAAACGCAGTCGATAGGCTCATCTAAAAGTCAGCCGTATCTTTCTTTTACAATATTCTCTGACCGAATTTTGCGTACAGAGACATCGTCATTTTTTGGGTGGAACGATTTTCTAGTTATTCAATATATCTTTTCTCGTGTGCTATTACTCATAAGGCTTCCATTGGCATTGCACGAGGTATCATATGCATACATTGCAACTAGAGGTTACTGCCCCAGTATAAAGGTAGACAACTGAATAATGTGACTAGACAGGTTTCCGGTTTGACCTCAATCCGTGTCTCTACTGAAGCCCAACAATGTCTGATACAGATTACCGGAAAATTTGCTTCGCAGACAGGTGAAAGCATACTGTCCAACCCCTCGTGTGGTCTGTGGGTTCTACCATAGCTGCGCAGGTGCTTAAGTTAGCATGAAAACTAGACGTCTAGTAGAAAGCGTAACCGAATTTTATTGAGGAAAGTCACTATGTCAGAGGCCAGACTGCATTTTTAGCTAATCTGTTTCACTCTAACCACTAGAGCAAACGCATGAACGCTGTGTCGCCTCTTACTGCATATTGACCATTCCAGTGATTACCAAGGCGTTTTCGATCAGTTCGTACAGTCAAAACAGTGATTAGCATTAATTCTCACCCGCAATAGCCCCAACTTCTAATTTTGGCGGAATTCTCGATTATCTGGTGGAACCTTTTCAGCTCTGTATTTAGGAATATAACAAGTAAATGTACACATTACGGGTGCGACTTCCGCGTACACAACTTTCGATCGAGCAAAAGTAAAAAACTCGTTCAATTCACTCGAATCCCTTTTAGTATCGTGCTTCCTGTCATTGCGTCTGTCTACCAACACAAATACCAACGGAAATTCGGAGGTTCCCAGCATAACTAATATCAACTATATACTATTTGTATGCCGTTTTCAGACCTTTCTACTTGATTAGAGCAGGCAGCTAAATATTTCATTTAAGCTTGCCAAGCAGTGGTAACAAACGAACGAAGTTACATCGGCGCCGCTGGACTCAAATTTCCGTTTTCTAATTTCACTCACTACTAAACGGGACGCAAAGTGCGACGCAAGTTCCATCAATCGTTTGGAAACAGAGACCTTCATACAGCATACATGCTGTCGTCTGTCTTTCTGAAAATACTCAACTTTCTTAGAGGAAACTACGCACAAGGTTGCTGAAAACTCTTCGACAGCCCACGACCGGTTTCACCCTTGTTGGGACTCATCAGGTAGGCGCAGATTCAGTTGAGTCTCTCGTAAAAATCAAATTGATTTGCAGATGAGTGTATTACTCAATTTTCTGTTTGCGACATGAGTCAGCGTAGTGGCTGAAAATTCAGAGAACCTTAGTCTTGAATTTGTGCACCAACTGCCTTACAGTGTGTACCGATCCACTGCGGGAAATGTTTTCATTTTTAAACTTATAATTCATTCGGAAAATAGAGAAATGAAGAAACCCGATGTATCCGTTCCAAGAACTAAATTCTAGGGAACAGCTCTAGCAATGTGACATAGGGATGACCATGCACTAATGGGACCAACAGGCTGATCCTAGCTGTGTAGACAAAAACGATGTTTCTTTCTCTCTTTCAACTACTTCTGTCGTCACATGACCATGCAACAGTCTAAGAAATTATCCACCTCGTGACGTGAAACTTACAGATCACACGCTTGAATCTTTTCAAAGCCGAAACATGAATGACTGATTATTTTATAATGAGTAGAATATCTCGGTGTCGTAATCCCGGATACACCCCGAAAGAAGTACATAGACGGTGGAGCCCCAAACGCAATACTTACATCTTCCTCTAAAGATTCGCAATAGGTAAAAGTCTTCGCTCGACAAATGTCAGCCCAGTCAATGCGATTTTGCTCAGACCACCTGGAAAATTTGGTCAGTGGTCCTGTCCAAACCAGTTTTTAGCTCAGCAAGAAAGTGTGGAGTCCAACTGGGCGTTCGTCATAACCTCCAACATGTCCGATTGCGCTGCTCACTAGTCAGTCACATTTCTGCACGCCGAAAATCAAAACTATGACCCGAGTAATCCAGATCGTTTATTAGGACCCGAATACGAGCACAGCACTGTTAGTCGTTGTGAAATAGTACACTGGTACATACAGAAAACTCTCTCCAGCGTTGTAGCAAAAAGGTGTGCACAGCGACGGAGTAATGAAGCTCCAGAGTTGAGTGACTATCGAAAAAGTTTGCCGATAAATTGGTCTGCTTTTGAATGCGTTAAGAAATACGGTATCATTACTGTAGGATGAAGACTCCACTGTGAGTGTGCGTACATTTTTTCCGAGAATACATGCTAGAAGAACAACTTTTTCTCTAGGGCTCTCCGGTGTTTGGATAAAATAGGAACAGCGATATGTATGGAATCTGTTCAGTAAACAACCTCAGTACTAGAAACTTTCCCTGTTGTTTAAGACACCTTGGGGTCATTCGCTAACGATGGCTCAATTATCTACACACGATCTCAGGTAAATAAAAGAAACATGTGGTTACGTTGGAAACGTTTTATGACCTAATATTCCATTTCATTTCCTTTCACTAATTGGGATACCTTCATCAGTCCTAACAATAGTGAGAAATCTGTCCCATTATCCGTGCAGGAGAGGTTTCTAAACCCAACTCAACTTCCTCCAGACCGGGAGGAACAACACGTATACTTGATATTTTGAGCAGACTGCTTCTCAGTTACACTTATTCCGGTGGTTAGCGGGTTAGGGCTGGCGTAACAGTGATAAAGTAGTCCCTC